CATATGTGGAAAGAGTTTGAAAACTTTGGAGAAGCAGGCAAGAGAAAGTTTAGAAGGCTGTAAGTAGAGCCAGATGGGTGATTTTGATCACAGCTCAGAAGACCAAAATGCTGATAAGAATGCGTGCAGTAAAGGCCAGGCTCATAATGTTTCACCTACGGGAATAAAGAATATTTGATTGCAGGCCATTTGTTTACAATTTGTCTACATTTTACCCATGTCCTGAGATTCTGTGGAAAGTTGAGTACTATAATAGCAGGGGACTGATTGATCTGGTGAAGGAAATTTTGGGGCAGAACAATGTTCACAGTACAGGTAGCGCTCACTGCTTTCAATCAGATTTACAGTGAGAACTGGTCGCAAAAACATCAGAGCAGAAATAACTTTTGGCCCAGAGGGATCATATGTAAAGTTGAAAGCCAAAGGAAATGTGGTTGCTGAGGAGATTAGTGCCATTAAAAACAAATCAAGTGCCTGGTGGTATGGTGGCACACAGCTGTGGCCCCAGCACTCTGTGAGGTTCAGGCAGAAGGACCACAAGTTCAAAGTCCATTACATTCTCACTAACAACGTAGTAGGGTTCTTTTTCCCTGCAGCCTTGACAGCATTTGTTATTATTTGATTTGTTGATGATAGCCATTTTTCCTGGAGGAAGATGTAATTTCAGTGTTTTGTTTTTTTTTTAATTTGCAGTTCTTTAATGACCGGAAATGTTTAACATTTTTTCATGTATCTCTTGGCCATCTGCTTTTCTTCTTTTGAGAGGTTTCAATGTATTTCAGTTGCCCATTAGATTGGGTCTTTTTTTTGGAGGGGTTTAATCTTGTTGAGTTCTTATATACTCTAGACATCAGTCCTCTGTTCAAGGAATAGTGGACAAAAAATGTTTCCCATTCTGTGTGTTGTCTCCTCACTCTGCTGGTTGTTCCCTTTGCTGAACAGAATCTGAAATGATCCTATTTGTTGATATTTGGTATTATTTATCATGCAATTGGAGTTCTGTTCAGAAAGTCCTTGCCTATCCCTCTGACTTCAACAGTTTTACCTATTTTGTTTTCCAGAAGATTATTTCTATTTTTATTACTATAGGGGTTCATGGACAAAAAATTGCCTTGAGTCTCAGGGGAGACTTGTCTTAGCCTTTTGAGCAATACTGTAACTGTTGAGATGTTAAGGAAGAAAGTTTTATGTTCTTGGTGGTACACAGTTGTATCATGTTCAGTGGAATTACAAAATTGCTATTGTCTTTGGAGATTAAGTACACTTTAAGGAGAGGTGTGTGGGTATCAGTTTGACAAGAGTGTAACATGAGGGATAAGCTTGTCAATTTGATTAGCCTGGTTGGAAGTTGCCTAGGAGATTAGTGACATGTGCTTTGGGATGTGTCTGGATAGTTCACAGAGGCATAACCTGGGGGTGCATATCAGGCCTCTTGCCCTTTCCTCTACGGCACTGTTCCCCTGCTCTTCCTCTTGACCTCCACTAACTGAGCAGCTTTGTTATATCACTCCCTTCTGCCTTTGTGCTTCTGCTTTGGGGGCAGCCAATCAGGAATGAATTCTCTGAAACCACAAGCCAAATAAACCTCTCCTCCTTCAAGATGTGGGTGTTGGGTAATTTATCCTAGCAGCAGGAATGCCAACAAATACAATATCACATATATCCAACACAAGTCTTGATCTATACAGAGCATGTTATACTAGTCCTTACCATCATTTATATTGAAACTCAAACAGCTACCAGTATTTTACTGTACTTATTAGTAATTTTAAAGAAATCTAAATCTGAGTATCTCCTCAATGTGCAACCATTTAGCTGTAAATAACTAGGACACACGTGTAAATACCGAATAGTTTCTCTAGCGTGAGAAACTGAAAGTGTAATAATAGATAATGTGAAAGAGGAAGAAAAGGTGCAAAGGGGAAGGGGGAGTGGGAGGGATAGGGGAAAAGAAAGAAGGGAATGGAATTAATATGAGAAAAAGAAAAAATGATAAAAAATCTACTGTGTGAATGAATCGACCATACCTGCTGATGCAAAGTACTGCACAGCCTCCTGTGCAGGGCCATGGAACATTAGTTTTCCTGAGGCCAATAAGGTGAGGCTATCAAATAACTTGAAGATGGAATACCGAGGTTGATGAATGGAGATGATGATTGTTCGTCCCTGGCTAGACATCCTAAGTTAAAAGAGAAAATAATGAATCATTAAGTGACTAAAGCTTACACTTCTTGATAAAACACTGTATTCCTGACATTAGAATATTTGTTCCCAGTTTACCTTGATTTTCTCTTACTAACTTCTCCTCTCACCTCATATTATCTACTTGATGACTGGGAAACCTAAACTCAATGCTTTTCTTAAAAAAAGACTTGGATGGGCTTCTTGAAAAGGATGGGACAAATAGTAAACCGTGTATTGACAATGCGGATTCCTGGATAGCCCCCTCTGGTACTGAACTTGAATCTCTAGGTATATGGAACCCATATAATGAATAAGTTTCCCAGGTAATCTATAAGTACATTAAAGTTTAAGAATTAACTAGGGAATAAATATCACAAGCATAGTCATATTTCCAGTTCTCACAGGTCATTTAAGTCTTCTGACTTTATGATTGTTTCCCATTTTTCTGTCTGATAATACAGTTAGCATTACTTAACACCATTTCTTTGCTAAATGTTATAAAGATACACTCATTTAAATTTTCACAATGTTGTTGTGATGTAATTCCAATATTTTTGTTTCCTTTATTTTAACAAAAAGCTTACAGGGCAAGCAATAGGCCAGGAGCTCATACTTAGTAAAGGGCAATGTTAGTATTTTATTTCTGGTCAATTTACATGGCAAAATGGTGCTAAAGTACATTTTCACAAGAGTTATTATTTAAGGGAAGAAGAAACAAAGGCCAAAATTGCTGTCTAAAATTGTCATTAAAATATTTTATTAGAACAATCATTTCAACTTAAACATTTGATGAGATCTTCTGTAAGGCAGCGGTATTTCCATAGCATTCTGCTTCAAAGAGAAGTAGGCCAGAAGATCAATAATTTCAATACAAAGTGAAATAAAAACAGCTAAAGATATCTCCTAAATATCAAAAGGCTTGACAAAAGTGAGCTCAGAAGAAAAAAGATATTCAATGTAGAAGAACAAGGTGAACAAAGTGTGAAATAAGATCTATTTGGGAAGCTAGCAGAAGCTCCATGTTACAAATCAGAGAGAGAGACAGAGAGAGAGAGAGAACGTGTGTGTGTACAGATGTTGGATGAACAAGATAACTAAAGACATTATTAAAAAAAGACCCGTAATGAACACTTCACTCAGAAATTTATAACGTTAGTACTAAGGAGGTGGTAAAGCACTTGGTGTAGGAAATGGGATTGTGGGAGAGCCCCGCTACTCTAAGTGTGTTAGGGTCTCCTCCATGGAGAATCTGGGCTCCACCTCCATTCCAGAGAAACAGACTGCATTTTAACTGACCCTGGATGATAAGTGTGCCTAGAGGTCCTTAGAGTAGGTTAGAGCTGCGGGTGAGATGAGGGATGCTGGTGTACAGCACTTAGTGAAAAACAATACAAATACAGTACTCTATACCTTTTTATCATTCTCTAGTAAACATAGTTTACACAGTTACAGACAACATATTGGATATATTTTGAAAATGTCCTGAACTCTAAACTTGGTATCATCATTTATATGTACAATGGGCACCTCAAATATTAGATGTCTAAAATTTTAGGCACTTTCCCACTTCTACTCCCCCAGCTGATGGACTTGCTCCTGCTGGCTTGCAACAGTGATGTGAAGTAGAGTCCATAAAGGTCACAATGTGTCTGGCAGCTTAAAGATGGGGCACAGCCGGGGATTTAGCTCAGTGGTGCCACCGCCTGCCTCATAAACACAAGATCCTGAGTTCAATTCCCTGTACCAAAAAAAAAAAAAATGGGGTGCAGGCACAAAGGTTATCACAGATAGTAGACAGAGGGAATGGCTGAAGCAATTGAGAGATTGTGACACTGAGCATTCAAATTACAATTATGTCTCAGCTCACAAATGCATCTGTTGCAGTTTGGATGGAGCTGAAACCCTGATAGTAGTTGACTTCCTTAGGGAGACGGGCAGCAGTGGGGTGTCCTTTCTTCTTGGAGTTAAACTTTGCAGTATTTATGGGTTATAGGACATGATGTCATAACAGCATGTAGTGGGATCAGAGAAGAAAGAAGAGGCAGTAAACGAATAAAAAGTAATAATGAGAATCCAGATAAAAAGAATGGGTTTTTTTTGTACTGTTTATTCTTGAAGCTTTTTGACAGTTTCAAATTATTTTTTATCAGAACTTTTGAAGTTTTTTTTATCAAAAGTTTTGAAGTTTTTCCTATAAATGTTCCTGCCACAGACTTATTTCTTAATTAAAAGAAATGTCATTTCTTTTAGTTCATTCTTCTATTTGTTTAGGCCTCAAGTTTTAGAAATCATTGTCTCTGGCATCACACTCCAGGTCCCCTTCCTGAGCTGATCCTATTAATTCTGTCTTCAGATCAGACCCAGATCCCACCCCCTCCTCAGCATCTCACCATGACCATCCTAGTCAAGGCTCCATCACACCTCAGTAGCCTCCTTCCTGGAGTCCTCACACTCACCACTGCCACTTCTACAGGCTCCCCACAGCTGCACATGCTCTGTTCTAGAACTGAAAATCCTTCCCATATCACCTAGGAACAGTGAAGGCCGTACTCCTCATAGTGACCTGTGAGGTTTCTAGAGTCTGCCACCAAAACACACAACTCACATTCTCTTCTACCTGTGACCGGCTGAACTGTGTCCTCCCCAGAACTCACGTGTTGAAGTCCTGACTCCCGCTAAATCGGGATGTGGCTCCATTTGGAGATGGAGTTCTTAAAAAGGTAACTCAGATTACATGAGGTCACCGAGTGAGTCTAAACTGCTTAGGGTCCACTTAGGAGTTGACACACAGAGGGAGACAATGGCCATCTACAGGCCAGCAACAGAAGACTCAGAAGAAACAACCTTTGATCTCAGACTTTCAGCCTTCAGAGAGCTATAAGAAAATTAGTCTTTGTTATTTAAGGGAACCAGTCTGTGGAATTTTGTTAGGACAGTACACTAGCCAACCTTTATTCCCCTTAGTCACTGAATTCTGTCCCTCTGGCCTCTTCAATATCACAGAGTAGGCCTCCTTGGCCCCAGGGCCACAGCCCCTCCCAACTAGAGCTCTCTGCAGTCAGATCCAGCCGGTCTCTCTCACGGCTCACACAACCCAGGCTTGAGGTCTGCCCTGACCCTCCCACTATTTACAACAGTCCCAAACCCCACACAGCCATCCTTCCATGGGCTCCTGTTCTGTTTCATCTTTTTTGATAGCACTTCTGTGTTAACTGAGTGTTTCCCTCTAACAAGGAAAAAAGAAATTGTGTTATTCCATTCTGGTCCCTGGCACCAGGTATTAAATAAATGAAAGAACAGTGTTCTCACAGCACTTACATTTTCAGGAGTGAAAGCACAGCGTGTGCTGTGTTTGAGTCTAAACCATTAGTGGGCTCATCCAGGAACAAGATGGAAGGATCCATGATCAGCTCCATGGCAATACTTGTTGTTTTTCTTTCTGCCCCAGACAGACCACCGGTAAATTTAGTTCCAACCTAAAACGAAATAGTTTCACCAACAAAAATGATCATGGTCACTATCCTCTGGTGAACTAACCTATACCAGCAGTATAAGAAACATTGTATCTTATGGTCTTCATTATTGCGAACAGCAAATAAATGGACAGCTGGAAGAAGAAAAGGTTTCTCTTAGCAGACAGGTACACTGATCCAATTTAGAACTGCTAAGTTGCTGAATCTGATATGAATCCCGGGCTTTTAATAGTTCCATATATACTTTTTTTGCAGTACTCAGGATTAAATCTATAGGCTTCACACTGAGCCATACCTCAGCCCTTTTCTACCTTTTATTTTGAGACAAGGTCTCATTAAGTCACTAAACTTCCCAATCTGGGTTCAAACTTACGATACTCCTACCTCAGCCTCCCCAGAGTGCTGCGATTACAGCTGTGTACCACTCTACTCAGCTCTGTATCCAACCAGATATTCAGTTTTTAAAGAAGTAAGTTAGGACATTAAAATATACTGCCCTGAAATAGGAAAATCACAGGCTTAAACAGGAGATAAAGAGAAGGAAATGAAAGCATCTATAACTATTTATTAGTTATTGTTGTCTAACAACAGTAGCCTCCCAAAAGCCCTCTGCCAGAGGTCTCCAAGTGCTCATAAGAAGGGAGTGGACTTGGAGTTGGAAAAATTTGCTTTTATGCAACCATATTAGCACTTTTTTGATCTCCACAAAGTTTTCTAAACCTGACGTGGCCAACACTCTAATTCATCACAGATTCACAAATCATCCTTTCAAATAAATCCAGAAAGTAGGATAGTCCACAGGACACCTGGTCCAATCTTTGCAATCAGTTGATGTCATGATGCATGTCGAGGGGAGTAGGGAGACTCGGGGAAAGCAGGAAGTGGGAAGTGATTCTGAAATTAAGAGCCACCTAAGAAATAATAATTGAATGGTACTCATGGTTCTTGATTGGGTCCTATTAACAACTGAACTACAAAAGAAATGTGGATACCACTTGGGGAATGTGAATGAATATGGCCTTCACATAGTCAGTGATAAAAAGGTATTGTTCTTTTTGTTAGATGACAATGGTATTAGTAACAAAATGTCCATTTTTTATAAATGCATAATAAGTATTCAGGTGTGAAATATAATTTTCTTTAATATTTCATTAAGAATAATTGAAGTAATTATGCAGTAAGATGTTAATAAGTGAAAAATTAGGTAACAATACTAATAATTATACTATTATTTATCAGACAATCACACACTATAATAATCAGATTATTTTCACTACATTTCTATTATGTTTGAAATATCATAAAGAGTTTCAAGGTGATGAGTTAGAAGCTGAGAGCACTCACATAGTTCCTTGTAAGTTAAAACAAAAAACAACCAGATAAACAGGGCATAGTGGTACATGCCTGTCATCCTAGCACTCTGCAGGAGGATTGCAAGTTTAAGCTCTGCCTGAGCATCTTGGTGACTTAGTGAGACCCTGTCTCAGCACCAAAAATAAAGGGGAGAGGATATAATGCACTATGAAGGCCCTGGGCTCAATCCTCAGTGCCACTAAAACAAAAACCAACAAATAAAAACAATCATCCAATGACAAACAATCATTGTAATGGATGTCGGAAGTTCAGTTGCAGACATATAGAACCTTGGAAAAGCCAGAGATCATGGATACTATATCAGAGAGAGTGGGAAGTCTTCTTCAGCAGGTCACTAGGAGTTTGCTGCTCTGAGAAACAAAGATTTCTGCATTGTTCTGTCTCTGGGAACCTACAGCAAGAATTACTACACTTTCTCATCTTGGATCTGCTTTGAGACTCGCTTTGGCTCTGGAGGGGCGCAGTGAAACAATTCTGCTGCAAGCTATGTGGTGAGTAACCAACCAGTCGGTATCAAAGAGGGGAGAGGAAATCCTTTCCCTTTTAAGACCAGCAGCTTAGTGGTCAGCTGAAAATGTTCTGGGACCTGGAAGGCAGGGACGCTTAAGGCAAGGGAGCTGGATCTCAGAACACCAGAGACCTAGGCCATGGATTGTGCAGAAGTAGCTGAACCCACACAACTCACTCCAGTGCAGATCATTGCCTCCCAGTCCTGCAGTGCTTCACAAAAGGGGCCAGAGACCTGGATGTGTTTCAGTGCTTGGGCTAGGCTGAGCCTTGGGAGTGCACTGAGCAAATCTCCACACTAGTTTGTACAGGTGAGCTGTGCAGCTCAGAGCTATTCCCACTCGTTCTATACTAAACCACCCCCGCTGGTCATTTGGTAAGCAACATAAAAGATGAAAGAGGTAAAGGACTCCCGATTTTTTTGTTGTTGTTTGTTCTCTTCCAGAGGTACACAACCAAAGAAGACAGAATAAAATGTTGATTGGCATAGGCAGGGAACACTCACTCCTTCCTACACAAGATTGTCTACCTCAGGGAGAGAAAGTACTTTCATTTTTATTAAAATATCATAAAAACTGAAATTATTTCAACTATTTGAGATTGGGAGATTATAAAAAGCTGGATTTTAAGAATACGAATTTTAAGAACTCAGTAACTGCCTTTGCTTGCTTTCCCTGAAAATCCAAGAAAGTAAACTGAGGCAATAAATACAGAGTAAAAAATTGTGCCTCGTTGGAAAGAAAAAGTCAAGTAAATGAATAGAGCCAAACCAAAGAAAACTCATTCAGGAAACAAAAGTAAGTAGTAAGTAGCAGCATCCTAGCGTTGTTCTTCAAAACACAATGTGCTTCACATAAAAGACTGCCAGCAAGCATACTGGGAAGGAACAGCCAGTAGAACCCCTCCAGGTCCATTGCTCCTAAGGGGATATGATGTGTGCTAAAACACAACCATTGCAACCTAAATAGCTCATTTCACACAAAGCTCAAAATATCTGTTCAGTAAACATTGTATGCCAACTCATCAACTATAAAGTTCACTCATTTCTCTCATTTTCTCTTCCTGATACCACAAAAGAGAAATAATTTTGTTCTCTCCTTGTAACTCTTACCCATAGCTGTATCATTAAAACCTAAAAGTCTGACAAAGAAAAATCCAGAAATAAATAATGGCAAAAAAGGAAAAAAGGAACAGAAGAAAAAAGGGGATGAGAGACAAAACTGCCAAAAGAGCGGCATTTGAGCACTACACAATTTAGCAGTCACTCATAATATGACTCAATATAATTTGGGAGTCAGATTACAACAAAGCAAAACACGAAGAGCAAGAATCTTTGGATTCAAATTACTTAGCAACTCCAGAAATATACTTCAAAAAGGGAATGGAACAAACTCTCCCAGAAAAAGATAGGGAAAAGAATAGCTAAAAATGAGAAGAAAAGGAAGAAAAATTAGTGCCAAGGTGTCAAATGAGCACTGATAAATGAAGGTGGAACAAGATCACATAGAAAAGGCCACATGAGGAAAACTTTTCCTTCCTACCCAGATTCAGCCATTGCTGAGACTGTTTTTTCATCTAATGTCCACTTTTATATTTATAACCAGTCACATTTCTCAGGGTTACATAAAGCAACCACTTTTGCTACCTCCAGTTATAGGAAACTTCTGATTCAGTGTCACATTATCACACAAGGAAGGTCTTTTTCCCTAGTGGTTAATCTTCACTGTCCTTTGTCCTGGATTGAGAAAAACTAGCAAAGCACAATTCTGAGTATGCCTGTGAGGGTATTTCCACAGGAACTATCATGTGGGAAAGAAAACTGAGGGGAAAGACCCATCCAGAATGTAAGCAGTGCTATCCAGGGGACTGCAGCCTGGATGAATCCAAAGTGGAGGGAGGGTCCTGCCAGTGCAGGCTCATGCCCTCTCTCGTTAGTGTCCTCATAGAGGTGAGTCATTTCCTTCTGCCATGACCTTTCTGTCTTGACATTGACCTAAAGCAATGGAGCCAGCTGACTATGGACCACGGGATGAATAAGATTGAGAGATACAATAAATCTCTTCCCTTTGAGTTGTTTTCAGAATTTTGTCACAGCAAGGAAATTTGAACATACCAAACCATAATCTTTTTCAGTTGAATTCACACATTACCTTGGAATCTGCTACTTTATTCAGACCTAAGTCTTCAATGACCTTGTTAATCCTCTCCTCTTTTTCAAGATGTGTCATAGTCATTGGAAGCCGGAGAGCTGCTGAGAACTGTAAGTTTTCTCTCACTGTCAGTGTGTTCATCATGACATGATCCTTAAAACAAAATGGTGTTTGAATGAGACATACCGAGTCTTTTCTAAGAGCATTTTAGTATATGTAATTTAAGCTATGGAACTAGCATGCCCAAGGTAAAGGTCTGGATAATCATAAAGTTTCAGTTCTACAAGTTGCAGTGACTCTATATACAGACAGCTACAGCACTGTGGAGCCATTTCCATCCCACATCTGCACACTCATAGAAAGCACAGGCAATTATGATGACTATGATTAGATATTTCCAGGCTGCTTTGTACAAGGATTGGCCAAATACATTTTATAGGAG